AATCCCCCCTCCCTGAGTGTCTCCGGGGGGGGGGGGCTGGGCTCCTTCCTGCCAAAGTGCTGCTCAGGGGCACTCCGGCAGGAAACAACCCCTGCTTGGGAACGTTTTCTTTTTAATAAATACTTTATAACTTTTGATGCTGGTAGTTGTTCTCTGTACCACACTTACCTCCACCATCTTGGACACACTATTTTAAAAGTAGCGCCAGGGAAAAGCCAGCTGTTGGCAAGCGGTTATTCCTCTCCCCGTGGTGACCAGACACTGGGCAGTGGGAGATGCAGAGGCAAGGCCTCAGAACTTGGAAGGGAAGCTGGGAGTCCTGACCCTCCCAGTGGGCAATTCCTACAAAGATCAGGTGGTGACGGCGTATTACCAGAGAGAGAGAAAAGCCTCTTCAGATGTTGAGAAAACCTTGGAGGGCAGGGTAGAACAGGGCTTGCAGGCCAGAGCAGGCCCGTTCCGCCACTGATGGCATGGTATGTTCCATAGCATTGCGACTTGTATATCTAACTGTAATACTAAAACAACTTAAAGAGAAATACAAATTTACTTTTTAAAAAAATGACACATGAGCTAGAGCTGTTGAAGCAACTCTATTTGGAGAGCATATTTGGCAGTGCTAAAATACCCTCCCCCTTTTGTGATTGTGGGATAATCCTTTCAAAATGTTTCACACATTCAGTTTCCCCTCACTGTCATCACACGGCCAGATAGAATTGATGCCAATTTGTGATGACCTGTCCATGATATAACCCTGGATTGGATGGGATTAGCCATGTGATTAACTCAGAAAAGTGGGGAAAGAAACCTATGTGTGTGTGTGAATCAGCAGCAGCAGAAAGGAGACAATATATTGAAAGACATAAAATATTGAGGTGGAGGAGGAGTTGGATGTATACCTTGCCCTTTACTTCTATGAATGGGCAAACTCTGCTATATTAACCACAAATCGCAATGAGACATACCCCAAGTAGGTGACCCAGAGTGACAGAGAACCCGATGGACAAGGCTGGGGACCCCAAGTTATCACTTCTGCGGTCATCAGTGGAGGCAAAAATGCACAGCACCAACTGGAACGTAAGGAACAGCTCCATGGTGACTGCCTGCCCTGATGTTGTATTGTTGTGCACCTGAAAGAAAACAGAGAAACATTCAACATCTTCTGACCATGTGCAGCTTCAGCTAGAGTTAGAACAGGATCTGGTTGGAGAGCACATGATGGAACAATTTTTCAGGTCTGGATCTGGAGTCATTTCTGAGATAGGAGATCTTTTGGCTATCCTGGGCACACCACCTTGAGTTGTATAATGAAAGAAAGATAAGTATTTACATAATAAAGCGATCATTTTGCATAGGTTTGAAACCAGAAATTTTTTGAACTTTACACTTTGTACTGTTTTCAGATTTCACATTTGACTTTTAAAGGATAGCTGCTTTTGAAACGTCTCCATCTTAAAGCTTGTGGATCTGTTTTAAGGTGAAAATGTATTGACTGTTAAACAGCCTTTGTGGGCACTTAAAAGTAATTCCTGTACTGCTGTTTATATGTATGGACTGTAAGGCTGCAGTCAGATGTGCCATTTGGCACAGAGGGGAAGCGATCCTATTTCCTCTGGTGGAAACTGAAACGGAGTCGCGCAATCACACATCCATTGGTGCTGCAGGCTCAGCCCATCGCTGCCTGATCAGACAGCATGTTTGGGCAAGTGGGGTTTTTCTTGCCTTTCCCCCCACGTGCACATAAACAAGGAATCGAACCCCTGTGGTAGTCTGTGACTATGGGTTGCTTATGCGGTTATGTGCATACTGCTAAATGAGCAAAAAAACCAGTGCTGAGTCAGGATGGACTGGATAGCCCATCCCGATAGTTTGAGTGTGCTTGCATGTGCTTGTGTGATGAGACAGCGGAAAGTCCATCTGTGGCCCATCGGAACCAGTTGGAGCCAGACTTTCTTTTAACTCTGCTTCTGTGGCGGAGCAGCACGGGTTGCTGATGACTGCGAGACCTTTCCCAGATGTAGCTGTCTGATTGTGCCCTTTAGATCTGTTAGGCATTCACAGCTGAGTCGGATCTAACAGCTTGTCTGACCGCAGCCATGTACTAAGTGCAACACGGAACTCTATATTAGAACAGGGGGCAAATCACAGTTCTGACAGCATGGAGTTTGTCCTGAAATAAAACTTTTCCTGGGGGGAGAATGTGGCTCCATTGTAGAGGACAGATTTTGTGTACAGAAGGTCCCAAGTTCAATCAGAGGATAATGGGCAGTAAACTAGAATTCTTTTAAACATTTTCCAGGATTCATTTTGGGGTAGAAGCCATTTTGGTGGGCTAGGAAACTTTCTTTTTGAATAAAGCACTCTAATTAGATGAATTCTTTTCCTAGGTTCTCCAAAACAGCGTTACACCGTTCTAGAAGGGTGTAATGTCACATAGGATTGCACTGTTCCCTCGGATCAGTGCTGTTGTGATCAGTGCTCCTCCCCATTTTCTGATGCTGCTTTTAATCACATGGCTGATCCTGCCCAATCAGGGCTTATACAGTAGGAATCCCCAACATGGTCCCTGTGGACACCATGGTGCCCAGCAATACCCTTCCTGGTGCCCACCAAATGGTTTTAGAAAGTAGGTGGGGCCGGGTGGGTTTTCTCCCTCAGCAAAGCTTCTGGTCAGTCACTGGAGATTTGGTGTAGTGGTTAATTGTGCGGACTCTAATCTGGGAGAACTGGGTTTGATTCCCCACTCCTCCACTTGCACCTGCTGGATGACCTGGGGCAAGCCATAGTTCTGATAAGAGCTGTCCTTGAAAAAAGAGCAGTTTTTGTCAGAGCTCTCTCAGCCCCACCTACCTCACAGGGTGTCTGATGTGGGGAGGGGCAGGGAAAGGAGTTTGTAAACTGCTCTGAGATTTCTTTGGGTAGTGAAGGGTGGGGTATAAATCCAACCTCCTCCTCCTTCTCCTCCTCCTCCTCTTCTTCTTCTCTGTGCAGATTTTTTTAAAAATATATTTCTTTGGCACTAGCTGCCACCACAACACAAGAATCTTCACTGTGTGTTACTGATGGTAAACCACAGCAGTCATTTAGTGGCAGCCATTTTGTGGCAGCCATTTTGTGGGTGCACCCATCATGGTGTGTCAAAACTCCAATGGTGCCCACAGTCCCAAAAAGATTGGGGACCCTTGGTAGACAGGATGGTGACAGAAGTCTACATAGCCCATATGTTCTGGCTAGGTAATGATATTAGTGAGGGCATAAAGTAGTAAATGAGCATTCCTGGAAGAAGAAAAATCCGCCAAAATGAGAGATTTTCTGTGGGGCTGATGAAAACATTTCCAGTGAGGTGAAGGTATCTGCATTATAAACCTATAAACAAATTCAAACTTCTGGAGAGCCAGCCATGCTGTACATTGGATAAACCTTTAGTTGCGTCTTTGACAATAACAGCTGGCTTCAGTGATTCACTAATTATAAGACTATTCCTGAGGGGAAAAACCTTGAGTGCGCCCAGTGATAATATCTCCATTGTTCTCTTTTGCAATTTCAATTGCGGTTTGATTTGTCTTAATCTTACGTAAGTCACGGCAGGATGGATAGAGAGCAATTTGCAGCACCAGTAGCAAAGATTCGTATCAGTGGGATCTTTGTACTATTAGACATAATTACAACAAAAGAATACATGGATTGGATGCTGACGTTCTGGGTACCTGAACACTCATAATTTTGGTATATCCATGTGTGGCTTGTAGATGGTAGATGGTGCCAAAATATTTGCTCTACCAGAAAACAATTGGATGCTCATTTTCACATTACGGACATAGGAATGCCTTTCGTTGAGCCAGGCCATGTGTCCACTGAGCCTAGTATTACCTGTTGTGACCAGTCTGGTAGTGGTTTCCTGTGGTCATTCCCATCCTGTCTATACTAGGGCTTCAACCTGGGATCATCTGCATGCAAACCATGTGCTCTACCAAGGAACTCTGGCCTCTTGTACTTGAATTCTGGTCAACTTCACAGGAAAGCATAGGATATGTACAACTCTGCATAAGATTTATATAAAATAAAATTGCCCCCCAGTTTATCTTGAAAGTAAGCAAAGTCAATTAGCAAATACATGCAGTTGGAGCCTGGAAGGGAAGATAGCATGGTATAGCCTGATCTCATCAGATCTAAAAAACAGGGTCAGTACTTGGACGGGAAACCACCAAGGAAGACTCTGCAGAGGAAGGCAATGGCCAACCACCTCTGCTTCTCTCTTGCCTTGAAAGCCCCTTGCTGGGGTTGCCATAAGTTGGTTGCGACTTGAAGGCACTTTACATGCACATGCACTATGTTACCATTGTTGGCAATGCTGTGGGGCCTAGGGTTACCAACCGCGGGTTGGGAAATTCCTAGAGGTTTGGAGGAGGAGCCTGGGGAGGGCAGGGTTGGGGGGGGCAGATCTCAGTGGGTATAATGCCATGGAGTAAATCCTCCTGAGTAGCCATTTTCTCCAGGGGAACTGATCTATGTAGTCTGAGGATCAGTTGTAACTCTGGAAGATCTCCAAGCCTCACCTGGAAGTTGGTGACCCTGGGCCTTGTACACTTGACAGTGGTTAGGGCGTCAGCATGCCTTATGTACAGCTGGAGCTTTTGCAATAGTACTCTACAAGAAAGGGGACTTGCGATACTTGTGCGGGGGGGGGAGAGCTCCACGCAGAGCAGGAGGAGGCGGCAGCAGCAGCAGGTAAGCCCTCTTCCCCCCCCATCCCCAGACACCGGTGGCATGGCCTGAGCGGCTTTTAGCTGCCGGGCCCCACTAATCTCCCTCCCCCCGACTCCTTCACCCTCTGCTGATCTCCTTCCCTCCTCCTCCAGCTCTAGCAGTCGATCTCCTCCTCCTCTCCACCCGCCTCGGCCCACGGCCCCTTCACCACCCCCCCCCG